GGGGGGGGGGGGGGGGAAACAACAACACCAAAGGTTTTTGAAGGCAGATAATAGTTTGGAAGGGTAGAGGAAGTGCTAAGGAGCAACTTTACCAGCTTGCCTTTTGACATTGGCATAGCCACCCCTATGGCAGCCATTTTGTGGGAATAACCATAACATGGGCTCAAAATCCCAACTGTGCCTATTGGCTTGAAAGGGCTGGGGATTAAAACTGCAATTTTCTGTAAGCAAACAGAGGCTCTACCACTGACCTCTAGCCCTTCCTTCATCTTGGAAGCATTAATATTATATAATTATGATATGATGATAAAGTCTGGGGAGAATGTCTTTTGCAGTGGGGTTTGGGAGAAATAGATATATTTACCCAGTATTTGGAGCTCAATTTAGTTTCACAGTGTTGATCGGTCTTTTTTCCACCATCTAATTAAATGCAGCTTTTGCATTATCGATACTTGAACAAATACCTTTGGAATGGTATGCTTATTTGTAGAACCACAGTTTTCTGCTCAGTTGCAGCAACAACAACAATTTATATGCTACATCTAAGCTGGGATCTGAACAATATCTTTCTACTTCTAATAAAATCCTCAAGCAATGAATCATGGACTATAAACTAAATAAACTATAAACTAAATATATAAACATATAAACTAAAGCTTAATATAGATTAAACTCCCACTCAATAAATTGTAAACAAGATCAGATGGAGAAGTGTAAGGGTATATAGGAATGACCTTGGGAAAGAGGAGGAAGAGCCACAGCCTAGACAAGCATTTGATAAATGAATTCTGAGTCCAAAGGGGGGGGGGGAGAGAGAAAGCGCCTCAGAAGGGACCCTCCCTAGTTTTTGGGAGAGTAAAAGTGAGAGAAGGGGAGAGATGCTTTCAGACTTGCAGGGTTCTGTTACTGTAACCTTACAATAAAGGTAGTGTTAGAAATCACGGTTGGTGCTTCTTGTCTGGGCTACCTCGAAGGGCTGACAAGAAGTGAAAGAAGGTAACAGCAGGGCACAGCCCTGCCCTCTCTCCTGCCGCCACTGATTTACTGAATATCTTCTGAGCAAGGCTTAGAAACAATAAACAAACAAACATCTGAGACTTACCCATGTGCCAGAAGTTAGCATTTTGCTAAAAAATTACCTTCTATATATGTGTGTTTGTATGTGCATTTCCATTATGTCACTCTAAGTGGCCTACAACTTCTATATAGAACAGCACAATTTTTTATTATTTATTATTCTATATGCAAATAATAACAACAACAATAAAAAGAAGGAACCTCCCAATAAAATTTATAACTCATATAAAGCAGTCATAGTTAGTCTTACATATATAGTGTATTCATGCCATGTTACACAAATAAATTATTAACCTTTAAGCCAATATACCATTTTTCTAAACAGTCCTCCAACCACAATCTCCAGTCTTGTGGTCATATATACAAAGTGAGACGTGTTCTTCAGAATATTGTATAGTTGTTGCGGGTGGCTGTGGCCAATCCCAACCTTGTAATAATGTTTGTTTGGTTTTGCAATCACAAAAGTGCACAATATCTCTTTCCACTGCCTTCCTGCTAACTTCCAAATCATTTGTCTATAATTCAAAAGACCAGTGAGTCTTTCAGAGCAAATATAGCGTCTGAAATGTACTGTATGTCAACAGGAGAGCCAAAATAGCATGAGATCATATAAACCAGAATTACTTTTGAGCACTGCAGTTTTAACAAGTAGCTGAGCCCATCATATTCTTTTGTTAATTGTAATTTTAAATCTATAAAGTGTAACATATAGATGCACAAATGATTTTCCAGTGTCACCCCAGTGCCTCATTTTTATTGATTTTATTCTAATTTCTTTGCAAGCTGCCCAGAGTTGTTGAGAGTTGGGCAGCATATGTTTAATATGTTTAATTGTTGGTCGCACAGTCAGCCAGATGTTTAGCCTGGGTTTGGCAGTTTATCCCCCTATCAAGTCCTTCCCAAGGACCTGGGATAGCCAGATGTGGTTGTCTGATGGTATTAAAGGTATCATTGCAGGAAATCATCATCATCATCATCATCATCATCATCATCATCATCATCGCTTCCCTACATTCTTGAAACTCTTTTGCTGGTGTATTTTAATAACTATCAGTACATAATTACTATAAGCTTATTATTAAAATTATTAGAATATTAGAATGGTTTCTGAAATATTTGTCCTGATGGCCCATATCAAAATATCAAAAGCTATAT